TTTTTTTTTTTTTTTTCTTTGTTTTTTTTTTTTAAGACCCCTTTCCCTAGAATGATCTTGCCCTGGGCCCATTATCCTAGAGCTGGGAATTTGTGTGTGGAAAGGAAGACATCAAGGTGTTAAGAGAATTTAAAGAAAATATTTTCCATCTCTGATGAGAACTGCTGAGGAATGAGCTGCTGTGGGAGACTGAATTTAGAATTGACGTAGAGAAGACTTTCTTATGGAGCAGATTTGGAAGACAAGCTGTGGAACTGCATTCTGCAAAGATCAGAGGGAGTCAGACAGCTTTTTGTCTGTAGAGTTTCATGGAAGGCCTCCAGGGACCCTTGGCAGGAGGCTCCTAGAGACCCATGAAAGGGAAAGTCCTATTTCTGGGTCTTACTTTGAGTTTCCTCCTCTTAAACCTCAGGCCCAAACAGAACCCCTTTCCTCTCCAGTATCCTAGGCACTGCTTAGCTCGAGAAAGGACAAAGTGAGCAAAGTTAGAATGTCATTTATTTCAGCAGCTTGAGAATGGAGAGATCGAAACTCTAGTCGCCGTTCCATTTCAGACTCTCAGAGACCTTGGGCAAGCCACTATGCTTTTTCAGGCCTCAGTTTTCTCAGCTGTAAGATGGGTGGGAATGCACCTCTTGCAGTTCTGGGGTGTTAAATGAGATAATGCATGTAAATGCCTGGCACATAGTAAGCCTTCAGTAAAAGTCAGCTGTGGTTGCTGCTGATCATGACCACCCTACCTCCCTTGCTGGAAGAACAAATTACTGGATGTAAAAAGTCGTTTAAAAGCAAAAGGTACTAGGCAAAAGCTGTGGTGCTATCAATTACTATTATTAATAATAGGCTCCTAATTACTTTTGCCACGGTATTAAGTGAAGGCCTCTTTGGGTGGGTGACGACTGGGGAAATGGGAACTATTATTAATGGAGCTGCCAGCTCCCGTTACCAGCTCCACTGACATAATATTTCTCTCTGGGAATCCTTTGACAAATCAGCTGAATTTCCTATTCCCTTGCCCTAAGCTCTGCAAATTTGATCCACATGTCTCCAGTGTTGTTTCTGTAGATTAATAATGGAGAAAGGAGGAGGAGTCTGGCCTGCACTGGGGCTCCCCCAGCCATTCGGGCTGTCGTGGGTTTCAGCTTGTAGTTGGGGTGGTTTTCCCTTTTGTTTTACTTGTTTTAATGCTTACAGCCAGCTCTTCCCAATGTGTTTGGTTACTCAGCTGCCAGGGAGAGTTTCTGCTTTAGGGACTGGGGCCCTGGTAGGGGGTTACGGGGAAGGGCCCAGTCATGAACTCTTCCTCCTCCTCCAACAGAAACAAAGCTTGGAGGAAGTGCTTTGGAGCCGTGCTTTGCTAAGTCAGCGCTGGATGTGATGAGAGGGGTCGCTGCCATCCAGGAGAGGCAAAGAAAGATGGAGAGGGGGGTCCACCACATCAGCTTGGAGAAGAGTGGGGGGGCCTGGGTCAGGGGAAGGTGGGGCTATGAGGGCAAGACTGACCATCAGCTGAACCTGCAGAATGGTCAGAGAACGCACTGAGGCCCTGGGCTGGAGGAAGACCACTGTGCATGTTTGCTCAAGAAAGAGAAACACATGGCGTTTAGCATGGGGGTGTCTGCGGGTGAAACGGGCAGTAATAATACAGCCGTGTTGTCACAGGCACCAGCCGCACATAGGGACAGCCACGAGTGAGCTTTGGTGGTGTGTTCATTGGACTGCGAGCTCACAGAGGAGTTAAGTATATACCTTGTAGAGCCAGTCTATCCCACATGTGAATCCTAGCTCTACCGCTTACCTGAGCAAGTTATTCAAAGTCTCTGAATGTCAGTTGCCCAATATCTCAAATGGAACCAGTAGTACCCATCTCTTAGGGTTTTGTTTGTTTGTTTGTTTGAGACACAGTCTTTGTCATCCAGGCTGGAGTGCAGTGGTACAATCTCGGCCCACTGCAACCTCTGCCCCCTGGTTCAAGCGATTCTCCTGCCTCAGCCTCCAGAGTAGCTGGGATTACAGGTGCCTGCCACCACACCCGGCTAATTTTAGCATTTTTAGTAGAGAGAGGGTTTCACCATGTTGGCCAGGCTGGTCTCAAACTCCTGACCTTAAGAGATTTGCCCACCTTGGCTTCCCAAAGTGTTGGGAGTACAGGCGTTAGCCACCACACCTGGCCTTATATGGGGGTGTTGAAAGAATACATGAGATTATGTAAATAAGGCCTATGTTCCCAGCACAAAGTAAAAATAATAGCAACAGCACTTGATAGAGCAGGTACTCTGAGCCAGGCGTTGCTCCAAGCACTGACCTCAGGTTACTCAGTTCGTCCTCATGACAGCCCTATGAGCTAGGCACTCTAGTTAACAGGTGATGAACTGATGCAGAGTCTAAGTAACCTGACCAAGATCGCACCACTGGTTAAGTGACAGCCAGAATTGCAAACCCCAGCATTCTGCTCCGAAGCCCTGCCGCTGTACCTGTTGCTGCTATTGTCCTTGTTACAGCACACGTTTGGGGAATTCTAACCCAGACGTGGACACAACCCGGGACTCTCCAGTTATCTCAAGGAATTTTCAGAGAATTTCTCCAAAAGTGATTAAATTCCTGTGGGTTTCTTTAAAAAAGGAGAAAAAAAAAGAAAGTTTGTGGCTAAGTGTTGGAAAAAGATGTGTCCATTAAAGAAACTGTGGTTACCGAAAGTCGGCAATCTCTATCTAGGTTCTGACTACAACTAGAATCTCTGAGGCCACATGCTCTTAAGAGCCAACATGTAATTTTAAACCAGTCTGATTTTGCTTTTCTGGTGCTTTCTAAGAAGCCGCATAGTGAGTTGGAGAAATTTACAGGCTGTCACCCTCTGGGATTGATTCTGACAGTTCTGCTCTGCTGCTGTTGAAGTGTTAATGAAAAACATTAATTGGACTTGGCCCATGGCTAGGACACGTCCCCTTCTTGGAGTAGGGAAGGCAGCATCCCTTTCGAATGGTTGCTCCCGGCATGGGGAAAGGAGAGGACTCGGGGTGGCACTGCCTTCAGGAAAGCAAGATGGGCATTTACATCTGACTCAGCCATCCCTGAGCTGTTTGAAAACAAAGCCAGTCTCTTTGTCACCCCAGAACCCTGAGTGTAGCACCACACGTGGGCTGAGTCAGGCACTCTGTAAACATTCAGCAAGTGAGTGAATGAATGAATGCTTGTATGATCCAGGAGCTCAAGCAGGCCAGTTTCTTGGGCACTTCCAAGAAAGGATGGGCTCCATGTGCTTTTTCTTTTTTTTTTTTGACACAGAGTTTTGCTCTTGTTGCCCAGGCTGGAGTGCAATGGCACAATCTCATCTTACTGCAACCTCTGCCTCCCAGGTTCAAGCGATTCTCCTACCTCAGCCTCCCGAGCAGCTGGGATTACAGGCATGCAACACCATGCCTGGCTAATTTTGTATTTTTAGTAGAGACTGGGCTTCTCCATGTTGGTCAGGCTGGTCTCAAACTCCTAAGGCTGGTGATCCACCTACCTCAGCCTCCCAAAGTGCAGGGATTACAGGCCTGAGCCACCACGCCCAGCCTCCGCCTGCTTAAAACCACAGCTAGAAGTGAGCTATTTCTCATTCTGGTCCCTGTAGCACCGTCATCCACAGTCAAAGTTCCCAAGTCCTCAAGGCTCAAAGAGATTTTGTCTACTGAACCGCTCTCTCTCAAGAGCAGGGGAGCAGGGCTCAGCCCTGCCCACCACGGGCTGGGGCCCACCAAGCTTCCCCTCCTTCCTAAGTGTGACCTGTGTGCCTTCTTTCCCATAGGTGTCCTCTCCCTCCCTGCGTACTTCAGCCCCTACAACGGCGGGTCCCTGGGCCATGACGAGCGAGCCGACGCCTATGCCCAGTTGGAGCTCCGGACCCTGGAGCAGTCCCTCCTGGCCACCTGCGTGGGCAGCATCTCGGAGCTGAGTAAGTGTGGCCTCAGTGTCTAGCTAGATGGCAGCGTGACAGCGATCCCCAGGGTGGGGGGAAGGTAGGGAGAGCTCGCCCCCTAGGCTCTGGCCTCCTCCTCCTCCAAGTGCCTTGCCTTCCCTGAAGGTCAAGAGGTTGCAAATACACAAATCTGGATTTTTGGTTTCTTTTGAAAAACCGAATGATCTAGCGACATGGCACCCCATTCCTGCACAGCAGTGACCCACAGGAGCTAAGTCGCAGTGAAGTGGGCGGCGTGTGTTCCCCACTTTGCCAGAGACCTGGGTTTCATCCGGGCGGCCTGTTTCACTTATTTCACCTGCCTGGCCCCATAGGCTCTGAATTCACAACTGGTGCTCCTTCAGTAAAAAGCACCCCCAAAGCCTCAGTGCAGAAAAAGGAAGATAACACAGTGCTCCTCTGGCTGAAGGCAGGTGTGGCTGGGTGGCGCCTCCCAGGACTCGGGGCTCTGTGGCACACATCTGGATCTTGACGTGGCTCTTTACCATTGACAGCTGCTTCCAGGGTGTTAGGAGGGGTGAAATCCCTGCTGGCTCCTGAGCTCACCTTCTCATGAGCCGTTTTATCTGAGAAATCGAGCTACATACTCTGCTGCCTTCATTCTCCCTTGCTCTGTTGAGACCACCAAGTGCAGGGGCCAAAGCACACAGCACGGGCACATGCTGAGTTTCCCTCTGCTCCTGCCTTCTCCATCTGTGATTCCCTTGAGTCTTCTGACCCCTGAACAATAAACAGCAAGCCTCTGTTTCTTCAGGATGTGGTTTCCTCCTTCCCTGCATTATTCTGCCCCCTCTCCGGACAGGAAATGAAGGTGCCTGGTTCAAGGTCACAGAGCAGAGCTGCAATAGGGCTGGGAGAGAAAGCAGGATTTCTGACTCCCTGTCTCCTGGTGACATGAAAGCAGGCAGGGTCAGGATGTTGTCGCCTGGGTCCCCTGTCCCGAGGGACCACACAGGAAGTGGGCTCTGCTGTATGGCTCCATCTCCACCCCTGAGAAGTGTCTCCTGGACAATGGGCTGTCTCAGAGCCTAGCACAGTGGTGGTTTGGTGAGTTCTCCTGCCTCGCAAACAGTGAGGGGCACGGACACAGCCATCAGTCCACTGGAGAGCACCTTGGTTTTACTTTACACTTGAACATTAAGTGAGCACCTTCTGTGTGTGAGGCACCGTTGTGAAGCACTGTATTCACTTTGTCTCATTTGTTTCTCAGAGCAACTCAGCAAGGTATGTCCCGATGAGAGAACTGAGGCTTGGAAAAGAAAAGTGATTTTCTTCTCCAAGTCACACGGATCAGAGCCGGGGGCTTGACTCGACGTGTCTAGGGCTGTGGGCTTCCTGGATAAGACGAGCAGTCCAGCCATTAGCTCCTTGGGACAGCTGAGGTCAGGATCAGGGGCTGATCCTTTGCCTCTTCTCATGGCAGCCCTATCCCCGTTACAGCCCCAGGCCAGCCGAAGGGAGGAGCATTCAGTGGCCTCCCCCGGGAAGGGCTTAAATCTTTCCGCCTTTACCACCGGCCAAGGGGCCAAGACCTATGGGCTCTGCCAACTAAAATGATCCTGAGTTTTAGTTTGCCCCTTTCCCCACCTCCACTGCTACCAATCAATCAAGCCCAGGCTGACCATTTTTTGTTTTGTTTTATTTGAGATGGAACCTCACTCTCTCACCCAGGCTGGAGTGTAGTGGCACGATCTTGGCTCACTGCAACCTCTGCCTCTGGGTTCAAGAGAGTCTCCTGCCTCAACCTCCCTAGTAGCTGAGATTACAGGTGTGCACCACCATGCCCAGCTAATTTTTGTATTGTTAATAGAGACGAGGTTTCACCACGTTGGCCAGGCTGTTCTCGAACTCCTGACCTCAAGCGATCCTCCTGCTTTGGCCTCCCAAAGTGCTAGGATTACAGGCATGAGCTACCACATCCAGCCCCAAGCTGCCCATTTAAAACTTAAATTGGGTTTTGTCACTCATCTGCTCAATATCTATCCCCTCTATCACCCCACAATGGCTTCCTGACTCACTCAATAAAATTCAAAATCCTTACTCTAGCCCAGGATCCATATGTGATCTGACCTTATCACTTCATCTCTTCTCTGTGGACTACACTCCAGCCGCCTGGCCTCCTGGCTAAGGACCCTCCCACTCCAGAGCCTTTGCACTGGTTTTCCTTCTGCCTGCAACACTTTCCCCCTGATACCCAAATACATTGGCCCATCACACTTTCAAGCCTCTGCCCAAATGGCACCTTCTCATTTAGGCCTTCCGTGAACCCACGCCCTCATTCCACTGTCTTCCCTTTTGTGACTTTGATTTTATTAAAGCACTGATCACCACATGACATGTATTCTATATTTACTTAGGAATAATTTGTCATCTCTCTCCTCTGACTAGAAGAGTCAGCTTCATGAGATTGGAGACTCGATCTCCCTTTTCCATGGCTATGTCCTCATTGCTTAGAACAGTACCTGGTACAAAGAACAGTACCTGGTACAAAGAACAGTACCTGAGGTGCAGCGTGCATGTGCGTGTGCGTGTGTGCGTGTGAGTGCATGTGTGTGCATGTGTGCATGTGAGTTCACGTGTGTGCGTGTGTGTGCACATGCACGCACACGTGCATGCCTGTGAGTATGCATGTGTTAGGAACAATGAGGTCTGTCCCACCAAATGTTTTCTCCTAAAACTCGCCTAGGATTGGTCCACATTCTGGCCCAGCCACTCCTCAGGGCCAAGGGAAGAATCCTCCTCATAGCATCTTTTCACAGACCAGAGAACAGGCTGTGTCATGTGCCAAGTTGCCCTGTCCCTCCCTCTGAAACCAGGGTTTTTGCTAACCTGCAGTGGAGGAGGGAGGAGACGGAGGTGGAGGCAGATATTGCAGTTTTTCTCCCTGAGACTAAAGAACTTAATGAGGCTAGTGATACTTGGCACTGAGCCCCTTGGACCTCAGCGTGTACCCCAGGTTGACATGCATTAATTCCCTGCACCTCGCCAACACCAGCCTGCCAGGTAGGGTGAGAAGCTTCACTCTTGTATGAGGTCCAGCTTCACAGGGAGTTTTGGGACTTGTGCCTTTGCTCTGTCCCTCTCTACCCACAAAAATTTTAAAGGGAGAGAATACAAAAGAAACAAAACAAAACACTTCTTTTTGAAGGGAGCCAGATGCTCAAGGCCTTATATTGAATCCGGTGCTGAATTCCAGACTCTCTCCTGCTGTTTTTATTTGATGGCTCATAATGAGGGGTGGAAGGACGAGAGTGAAATCTAGCACCTCTAATCAAGTCTTTCATGGCTAACAAGGAGGGAGGACTTGTTTTTCCTTGCCTGGTGGGTGTCTCTGGGCTACAGACTAAGGTTTCATTGAGTGTAGGATCCACTGATTCTCAAGTACAGGGAAATTTCAGAAGAAGCTCCGAGTCCCACCATGCTTAAACCAAGAGCCCAGCCCAGCCTGGATCACGGCTTCTCAAACTAGCTATGGTAAAGGATCAGAGATTTTGTTTCCCCTACTCTGCTGCAGAATGAAACCTTTATAATGTACAATCAAAATGAATGTCTAGAAAAGGGAAATAAGACATGTGAAATGCAAGCCCAATCTTTAAAATTATTATTACATTAGCTAGACATAAAATTACTGTCCAATTGCTATGTAAGTTTTTAAAAATTCATTCTTCTGAAATTAACTTGCTACAAACCAGTAATGTGTGGACTTGTCCCCGTTCACAGATCACACTTTTAGTAGCAGCCATGCGATGGCCCAGAGCATGCATTTGGGAAGCAGGACCCCAGGTTTGAGTCCTGGCCGATTGATTATTAGTTATCTAGTTGTGGAACTGGGACGGATCATTTAACTCCTGCAAGCTCGTTTCCTTGTCTGTAGAGTAGAAAGGCCTTCCTTACAGGGGTGGCTGAAAAAGTTAAATGACATTTTGTCTATCTTTTCATGTCTATCATGAAGCCTAGAAAATATAAAGTGGCAGGGAGCAAAAATCACCCTAGGAGAATGTTCAAAGCAAGCTGCTTTCCTTACCCATCAATGGGTTGCCACGCAGCATTAAGTTTTTAGATGTCACAGTCAGAGTTCTCTACAGGCATCTGTCTTTCTGGTCTTTGAGAGAAACTCCATTTCTTCCCTGATTTTCTTATCTACATGCAGCAGGAAGTGCACTGCCAATGGGTTCATCACCAATAACAATGAAATAACAATAAAAATAATTAAGGATAATGACTTCTACCTTGTCGAGCCTTGGAAATGATATT